ATATTTACATAACTTACATGTTAAAGTATTTCACCTCATGTGTTGAAAAATTGAGGCATAGCAGGGCACCAAGCAACTCAAATTTTAATACTCTGACAAACTATGTACAAATGAAATTCTTGAAAAAAAAGGCACAATAAATTCATCATTCCTCCAGTAAAAGTTTCAGAACTATTTGATGAAATAATTAAACTAGATGTTAAGACATCTTCTGGTTCTGACGATATAGGTCCAAAGATTTCATAGCATCTTCCTTAACATACATTTTTATACGACCGCAAAAAAATTTTTGTGGTCGTATGACGTTGGCGTCGTCGTTGTCCGGCGTCGTCGTCCGAAAACACGTTAGTTTTCGCACTCTAACTTTAGTTTAAGTGAATGGATCTCAATGAAATTTTACCATAAGGTTCAATACCACAAAAGGAAGGTGGGGATTGATTTTGGGGGTTATGGTACCAACAGTTAAGGAATTAGGGGCCAAAAAGGGGCCCAAAACAAGCATTTTTCTAGTTGCAGGATAATAACTTGTGTATAAGTATTTCAATTGCTCTGAAGTTGTACAACAATGTTTAATACCACAAGTAGAAGGTTGGGATTCATTTTAGGGTTTATGGGGCTAACAGTTTAGGAATTAAGGGCCAAAAAGGGGCCAAAAACAAGCATTTTTCTAGTTTCAAGACAATAACTTGTGTGTTAGTGTATGGATCAGTTTAGGAATTAGGGGCCAAAAACAAGCATTTTTCTAGTTTCAAGACAATAACTTGTGTGTTAGTGTATGGATCTCTCTGACATTGTACCACAAGGCTCCATATAACAAAGGGAAGGCTGGGATTGAGTTTGGGGGTTAATTGCCCCAAACATGTAGGAATTAGGGGCCAAAAACAAGCATTTTACTACTTTCCAGACAGTAACTTGTGTGTAAGTGTATGGATCTCTCTGAAATTGTACTACAAGGTTCCATACTACAAAGGAAAGGCTGAGATTGAGTTTTGGGGTTATTGCTCCAAGGGGGGTTTCAAAAAGTTGGGGGGGGGGGTTCCAATTTTTTAAAGGGATTCATATTTTTTTTTCAAAATAAATTTTTTTTAAAGTTTCAAGAAGAAATCTTCAATTGCACAGAATTGCACAATAGATTTGTAAGATATTTGACCACATTTATTTTGTGTCAGAAACCTATATAATGTCAAAAATTTGATCACAATCCAAATTCAGACAGTATCAAGCTTGAATATTGTGTTCAAATTTGCCCAAACTGTTCAGGGTTCGACCTCTGCGGTCGTATCAGGCTGCGCTCAGCGAAGCATTTTATTAAGTTTGTGCCTCTGTCCTTTTGTCTGTTTGCATTGTTTCTGGTTAAGTTGGTTTATGGAAGGTCAAAGTTTTGGAAATATCTTACTTTTAAATTTAACAGTAGTTATTAAAATCTGCCAGATTGTTATCATATCAAGTTTTTGTCACATGATTGGTATTGTAAAGGACAACTTTTTCTTCAATTTTTTAACAAACAGATTTTCCTGTGCCATTGACAAGCACTATCAGTCTATCTGGAAAATAGGGTTTTTCCTATACAAATTTTTGTCTTTAAATTTTTGTATTCAAAATAAGAAAAGAATATGGCTGTTGCTGAAGCATCAGCATTATATATTTGACAAAATGTAACTATAATTACTGTTAACATGGTTAAAAGTAAAATATTTTCAGAATGTTATCAGATTTTTAAAGACAAACATGTCTTCTTATCAAATTTTACCTGCTTCAGTAGGCCGTAAAGGTGCTGGATTCAGGTGAAGTGGTTGGTAAACATTTTCTTTAAGACTTAAAAGGCTTGACAAGGGATACTGAGGGCAGCCAAATCAGAAAATTGCTACAGACACATAAACTTTTTGGGATTGGTCAGGTTAATGAACCACAGACAGTTGGAAAATGCAACATCAATTAACTCAGAATACGTTGCTATGCATAAAAATGTACATGACACCCTTTATGGTATTTTCTTTTCCAAAATTTACTTTGGTCTGTTTCAACTATTTTTTCACTCAAGGCTAAGGTGGCAATTTCAAACCTTTAGAATTATGTCCTCCATAAGACAGAATTTACAGAGGTCTTGATAAAAATTTCACATGTCAGTCATTTGTATCTCTTAAATCAGGTGTTTCCTCAATTTGATAAAGTTGGTTATGATTGACACTCCCTATCCTAGAATAGAGAATAGAAACAATGTCAAAGAGACAACAACCCCCCACCAGAGAGCAGAAAACAGTGCCACCAATGGGTATTAGCACAAGCATGGTTGAAATACAGGCAAACATAAGTTTGCAGTTTTGAACAGTACTGTATAAATCATTATTTTTTTTTTAAAAGTTGAGTAGGTGCAATATTGAAGTTTATTTTAAAATGATGGTCACCAAAATATGGATCAAACACTTTGTACTAGTGAATGGCTACCAGGTATTTTATGTATCAGTAACACCTACAGGCTACAGACTCCGTATAATTGTCAGATTTGTCTGATGGTCCAGCATATTCTCAATTGTTGCTTTCAGCATGTTAGTTGACACCTTAGAAAAGTGTGTTGATACATGTAGTTATATCCATGAATTGTAATACAATGTTGGTTGGCATTTCTATTTTATTTTTTTACCAGTATATTATTTTCATTTTATTTTGTTCGGGGGACAGAGTCAATACAATACAATCACAATTTGCAAGTTCACTGTAGCTTATTGATAAAAATGAAAATTGAAAAAATACTTCTTTAATAATTTCATTAAAAATACTGTGTTGCATGAAATAAACATATTGACATGATTGAAGGCCTTGTAGGATTCAGTTGGTGTGGTTTGTTGTACCATCCAATACATGTATCTTTGGAAATTCCTGTTATCCTTTTTATGTTATTATGAATATGTTTGTAACTATGGATGTCAGAAATGAGGAAATGAGAGATGAGGAATAATGGTTTTCAGGGGAAAGAGGCACATCTCTGCTATTCTTATAATACAGATCAAAATCTCTAGAAAATATTCAAATAGTGAGCTTTAAAAAATGATGATAAATTTAATGGTTTAAAGGTGAAATGTACCAGACAAATATATCCTGCATTATTAACATCAGTATTCCTCCATATTAGGACAGTTTGAAAATTATGAAAGATTATAGATTATATTGACTTAATCTTATCATGCTTATAATATATGAACCCAATTATCCTGATTATGTATTTATAACATATTTGTAGTAGTTTGCATACTAGAACTGAAGAGTATTGATCGATAACTGAGTCATACGGTCATGGATTCCAGTAAATTTTATTGACTGAATGTGATGCCAGCAGTAGAGGATTGATTAAAACACTTTGTCTAGAAATAGTATTGTTCATATACTGCTCCCATAGTGAAAGTCAAACACAATGCACTCAAATAAAAATTTACTAATTCTTTTGTGTTTGCATACTTATTTCAGTCATGGAATATGTGTTGATTAGATTATTTTTTGTTCATTAGCAAAATGGAAATTACAGATGTCTTAACATAAATGGTTGTATATGTCTATAATGTCTTTAAATAGATATGTTTGATGCATTTTGTGCATTGATGTTTCATTAGCATCCATATGTATTGAGAATATGTGCAGAAGTATTTTACCCCAACCTAAGCTGTGATGAAAACAAGTGTATTGATTTCCTGTTTATCTTATTGAAAATTTATGGATCTCCACTATAATATATATTATAAATTGACAGATATTGTAAGACCTTTCATTGTCTTATTATGGTACCTACAATAATCTTAAAAGAAATAAGTATCTTTATTAGAGTTCCGTAATTGAATATGTATGTCCCAGCCATAGTGGAGGGGGCATTCAGTTTTACCCTTGTTTTAATTATAGTGTACAGTAAACACGAGGTGATTCAGTCAAAATGACTTGTGCCAGTGTTAGTGAATCACCGTGAAACAGGGTATTTGCTGGTTATAGAAGGCTGAAATGAATCACTCACATTCATTAGCATTTGCCACAGTTCACCTAAGAAAAATGTTCATTCAGTGGTGGAGCTTATAAAATATAATTAATTTAATTGTTGAAAATATTTATAAATTTATACATATACCTTTCACATTTACTCTAAAATACATACATATATTTTTGTACAAAAGTTTATGTACTTGTAATTATCTTTATTTTGTGACCAAAAAGTTTAAACTTTCAGAATTATACTGAGTTATTTTCCAAAGTTATCAAATATAATCTCAAAAAAGGATTCAATTTGGCTTTTCGAGATAAAAGTAGGCAAAAAATTATAGTATATAGGGAGTTGTTTGCAGAATGTTCTGTCCAAACTTGCTTTTTGTGCTTTTCGTTTACCCGTGTACCACTTGGACATGTCAGTAAATTTGGTGCTGATGACAGACCATTGGATTGTCTCTTTTTTATGCACAACTTTTATATACTCTAGACCTTTCAGTGCTTGACATTGTACGGACATCTATCTATTGTTTAAGACCGTATTGTTTGGTTATTTTTGTGGTTGGGTTGCTGTCTCATTGACATGTTACCCCCATCTCCTTAAGCTTTTATTCAGAACATTAATTACATAGATTTATTTGTATGTTGATTAAGAATTAAAAAAAAAAAATATTATATTAACTACAAAAGATAAGATAAAAAATATCAGTAAACATGAAAGATAGGTTCTGTGACATATCTCCCACTGAAAAAAAAAAGAATAGTCGAAAGATTAAACAGACACTATTCTTGTTATGACAATTTATTATGCTGAATCTAAACTGACATGAAAATAACATTTTGTAGCATTTTTCTACACTTCATAAACAAACGCATTTCACTGTATTTTCATCAAAGCTATGCTATTTCATTTTATCATGCACCAATCTGGTTTATGTACTTTTTATGCTCAATGTCATAAGTAATAAAGCAGTGTTTTATCACATAAATCTATCCAGTAATATGACAATCAACGAATTCCATTAATTTTATTGCAGAATGTGGTGGACACTTACAGGGAATTATGGGAACATTTTACCAATAGATTGGTCAAAATCTTACGTCAAACAGATGAAAGAAAAGGTTTTACATTTAGAAGAAGGAAAAGTGAGTTACAATTCGTACTATTTTCTTTCAGTCCTCTTTCTTTATACACTATTATTTTACTTTAGTACATTCATGTGACCTTCAACCGATGTAGAACAAGTTTGACAGACATCCTTCAGCATAGAACAAGGATACACTATTCTAACTGAATAGAATGGAAAAGAAACTGTAACTTCCACACATTATATATAAAAATACAAAGATGTGGTATGATTGCGAATAAGACAACTATCCATGAGAGACCAAATGATGTCGATGTTAGCAACTATAGGCCTTAAACAATGAGCAAAACCCATACTGCATAGCAAGCTTTAAAAGGCCCTTACAAGACAAAATTTACAACATTTTAAACGAGAAAACCAATGGCCTGATTTATTTATGCAAATTGTCCATAGAATTGCTTAAATTGGTATGTATATATACTGTGAATATAAATAAGATGTGGTATGGGTACCAATGAGACAACTCGCCATCCAAGTCACAATGTATAAAAAGTTACCAATTATTGGTCAATGTAGGGCCTTCAACACAGAGCCTTGGCTCACACCGAACAGCAAGCTATAAAGGGCCCCAAAATGACTAGTGTAAAACAATTCAAACAGGAAAACCAACGGTCTAATCTATATAAAAAACGAGAAACACCTATGAACCACACCAACAAACGACAGCCACTGAACAACAGGATCCTGACTTAGGAAACATTCATAAAAATGCAGTGGGTTTAAACGTTTTAACAGGTGCCATTTTTCACCCTAACCTGAGACAGTAGTGTAACATTACAACATAAAAAGAATTCAGAATTTAATGAGAGGTTTTTATTAATGCGAAAAATGCGACTGTGTAAATATCACAATAATCAGAACTCACAATCTGATATCTGATATCTGACACATATATCTTCATGCAGATTTACCTGAAATTGCAATAATTTATCTTGCATTTTTATACGTCCGTTTACGGGACGTATTATGGTATACCGTTGTCCGTCCGTCTGTCCGTCCGTCATCAACATGTCGGATATTAACTCAAAAACGCTTTAACCAATTTGCATAAAACTTTGGTGAATTGTTTATATCTATTGACGTGAGCTCCCTTTCATGTTTTATAAATTTTAGATTTTACATTTTCGAGTTGTGGGGTTTTATTCATTAAAAAAAGGGGGATTTTCCAGTTTTCGGACAATAACTCAAGAATGCTTTCACCAACTTGCAAGAAATTGTGGTGAATTGTTTATATCTATTGACATGAGCTCCCTTTTGATTTTTATAAATTTTAGATTTTACGTTTCCGAGTTACAGGATTTTATTCATAAAAAAGGGGGATTTTCCAGTTTTTGGACAAAAACTCAAAAATGCTTTCTGCAGTTCTTATGAAACTTTGGTGAATTGTTTATATCTATTGATGTAAGCTCCCTTTAGAATTTTATAAACTTTACATTTTACATTTCTGAGTTATGGGGTTTTATTCATTAAAAAAGGGGGGATTTTCCAGTTTTCTAAAAAAGGGGGGATTTTCCAGTTTTCGGACAATAACTCAAAAATGCTGTCAGCAATTCTCATTAAACTTTGGTGAATTGTTTATATCTATTGACATGAGCTCCCTTTTGATTTTTATAAATTTTAGATTTTACGTTTCCGAGTTGCAGGGTTTTATTCATAAAAAAGTGGGATTTTCCAGTTTTTGGACAAAAACTCAAAAATGCTTTCTGCAGTTCTTATGAAACTTTGGTGAATTGTTTATATCTATTGATGTAAGCTCCCTTTAGAGTTTTATAAACTTTACATTTTACATTTCTGAGTTATGGGGTTTTATTCATTAAAAAAGGGGGGATTTTCCAGTTTTCGGACAATAACTCAAAAATGCTGTCAGCAATTCTCATGAAACTTTGGTGAATTGTTTATATCTATTGATGTAAGCTCCCTTTTGATTTTCATAAATTTCTAATATGACATTGAGAATTAATTGAACTTTATTTGTTTATAGTCTGACAACAGATTTACTAAGTATTGCGCAACAGCACAGTGTATTACACAACAGCAAGAAATCTTTAATTGAATATAAATTCAATTCATATAACCAATTTCAAGTTCTTTGACTACATTTATTCAGAAACCTATATGTCGAATATTCAGAGCTCCAGATAAGAATTCACAAATTGGGGTTTTTACCCACCATTTTTTTATGTAATTGGGTGATAAAGTTTTTTAATTGCATTATCAATTCCAATTCACCCCTCAAGCAAATATCAAATTGGGTTTTTCACCACCAAGCTCCTTAATGTATTGGGTTTTTTCATCAACACAATATTGAATATTTAGGCATGTTATAATCACATTATATCAACCCCAGATGTGTTTCCATCTTAAATGTGTTTCTTTCTTTGTAGAATAATTGTGCTAGCTGTTTTATTTGGTTTATTCACTGACGAGCAATTGTACATTTAATTTGTGTCCCGTTTTAAACGTTCTGTCAGTTTTGTATTTTCTCAAAACTTATGTAAACTGCAGCTGGTGTCACTAGTTGGACAGGAACTAATTGCCTTTCTAGATCCCATATGATCACCCTACAGTTTAATTATAGTTAGGGTACATGTAGGTGTGGCTAAGTGTTTAGATTTTTGTGTAATATATGTGAAATTTAGGTGCTGTAAGAAAGTTTTGCTAGTCCTTTCACCTATTTGCCAGATCTACTTTTTAATAAAAATAAAAAGTAGTTTCCAGATTTAAGATATACCCCAAAACCTTGAGGTTTATAGGGTGGTTTATAATGACGGAGACCACATTCAACTTAAATTTACAAATAATTCTGCAACATCAAGTAAATAAATGACAATGTTATACTGCACTTGCCAATAAGACAACTATCTTAAGCATCTAGAACAATTAGACCAAAACAAAGAAAGTGTCAAGCTGCATTGACGTAAAAAACGGATATGTGTATTCACTCATCAACTAAAATGAAAAAAATAATATATAAACTGTTTTCGTTTAATTCAATTTACATAAATCTGGGTTAAGTTGTCCCTTATCAGAACTTTTGGTTTCCGATGCTTTCAAACTACATATCATGTCATAATTGATTTGGCCTTTCACTTTTTCCAACTGATTTCGTTTTCGACGGAACCCCGTGTTTATCGCTCTAGCAATGTTCTCGTTATGGTACGCAAACACGCCCGTGGGTTCAATGGCCGCTTCCTAAAATCACTAGCTGAGTCTTGTTATCATCATAACTTTCCCTCAGCTATCAAAAAGAAGCCGAAAACATGCTTCTATTCAATATTTTTACCGGTCATTTACTTTCGTTTTAATTCATTGTATGTTATGATAAATCCCGAGCAATTCGAAAAAATATGACAGCATGTCACACGCTAATTGGATAAACGCCGAGAAGATCGAAATGTTTTCATAAACACGTGTACCTTTTGAGCAACGGAAAATTCCAACAGGGACCCATTACAGCTACTTGATGCAGGGCTCTATTTTTAGAACGAAAGGACATTTCCAATTATAAATATTATAAAAATAGATTTACGCGACGACTGTAATCAAGTAAGGGTAAATAACGCAAACGATAGCGAATAAAAGCGTTAAGAACCCATGTTTTTGGCATATAATTGGGTTTTCCTTTGAATTAATTGGGTTATTGAACCCTGCAATGGGCAATTGCATTGGGTTTTTAATTATTTTTATTGCGTGATCACGCAAATACGCAGCTTATCTGGAGCTCTGTAATATTTAATTACAATCCAAATTCAGACCTGTATCAAGCTTGAATATTGTGTCCATTTTTGTCCCAGCTGTTCAGGGTTTGACCTCTGCGGGCGTATCCAGCTGTGCTCAGGGAAGCAGTTTTTTTTACTTCCTTCAAAAATTGCAATCATTAATGCACGCAATAATTTCTGAATTTACAGTAAGTAAGTTTTATTGAAAACTGGATAATAAATTTTAGGGATTTGTCAACTGTCAGTAAAGATTTATACCTTACCATTCTACATGTAGACCATATAAAGGCAGAATATTGTCAGATCTTTTTTTCAATCTTGACCATTATGATTCATGTACAGTGTTTTGACCTTTTACTTCACACTGTTGGTTACGTGTATGTATGGGTAAATGGAGAACATTTTGGGAGAATTGGATATCGACAGACTCAATGGACTTAAACTGAAAAAGACATTTTTTTCTCCTTGCAGGCTAGTGAACCAATGAATTTAGATTTGTCAGATGATGATGATGTAGCGCAGGCATTAGATATGCACAGTCTCATAGTATCTAGTCTACAGCATCCAGAAACAGAAGATTATGTAGCCACTGCTGAAGAGGTTATAAGTGAAATAGAATCTATGATGCAGGTAATCTGTCTCCAATGTTTTTTCATTAATATGTAACATCATGGCAAACAATAAAATCAATGATATCTGGGGAAACTATTTTGATCAACAGCTTTATCTCAAAGTACATGAAAAGTGGTTAGAGAGAACTATTTTGTTTTTATTATTTGTCTCAATTTGCAGTTTTGTGCAGTGATAACAAAAAATTGAAGTTGCAAATTGTTTCATGTTGAAGAACTCACTGTGACTTTGAGGTGAATGAAGGCAACTTTCCTGTGCTTTGGGGGCATGTAGAGATTTTATTTTATAAATAGAAAAATTATGTCCCTTCTTTTCCAATAATAAAGAAGTGAATTATACAAACACGTGTATGATTATATATTTTTTAGGATGGACCTTTAAATGGAGATGAAACAGTAGATCCCACCACCTTGAATGTAGTCCCAGTAGAGCCGGACAGGGATCCAGTCCCTGTTCTTCCCTCTTATACAGAATCAGGTGAAATATCATAATAAAATTTTCCTTAATTTCAGAGAAATAACATTGATTAACAAAAATTTCTAATACACATTTAGAAACTATTTGAGGTACAATGTAGACTAAAAAATAGAAAAGAAAAAAAATTAATAAAAACAAAAATCCTAGTTCAGTTATGTCCATTTTTATGCCCTCTACCGCAGTTAGTGGGAGGGTATTAAAGTTTTACTCTTGTGTTTTGTGACGTACAGACGGACAGGAGTAAAAATTTAATACCCTCCCACTGACACAAATTCTAAAAACCACATATCAAGTTCAGATTTAGGTGGCATCACTTTCATCGTTCTCGAGTTATGTCCCTTTATAAATAGGAAATTGGTAAATTATTTTTTCTGCCCTCAACTTTTGTTTGCCTCAACCAAATGTTATTAAACTTATACACAATGCTTATTACCAATAAACACAGATCAATTTCATATTTGGGTCGTGTCAATTTCTCCATTTTTATGCGGTGGGGGCATTAAGTTTTACCCTTGTCCGTCTGTACGTACGTACGTCCCAAAATTGGTTTCCGTTCTCTAACTTGAGTTTGCCTCAACCAAATGTTATGAAACTTATACACAATGGTTATTATCAGGAAACACAGATCAAGTTTTAATTTTGGTGGCGTCACTTTAACCGTTCTAGAATTATGTCCCTTTATAAATGAAAAAATTGCAAAATTTTTAGTTTCTGTTCTCTTAAGTTTGCCTCAACCAAATGTTATGAAACTTAAACACAATGCTTATTACCACAAAATGCAGATCAAGTTTGAATTTTGGTGGTGTCACTTAAACTGTTCTAGAGTAATGCCCCTTTATAAATGAAAAAATTGCAAAATTTTTAGTTTCCATTCTCTAACTTAAGTTTGCCTCAACCAAATGTTATGAAACTTATACACAAAGCTTATTACCACAAAACGCAGATCAAGTTTGAATTTTGGTGGCGTCACTTTAACTGTTCTAGAGTTATGCCCCTTTATAAAGGGAAAAATTGCAAAAATTTTATTTTCTTCTTAATATCAATTTATTCTTAAAATTGGAGTTATCTTCCTTTGTTCATGATTATAGTTGAATCAACTACAATCAATGTTTTATACAATGCAATGTTTAATTTTGACTTCCACTGATAAAACGCAGATCAAGTTTGAATTTTGGTGGCGTCACTTTAACCGTTCTAGAGTTATGCCCCTTTATAAATGGAAAAATTGCAAAAATTTTATTTTCTTCTTAATATCAATTTATTCTTAAAATTGGAGTTATCTTCCTTTGTTCATGATTATAGTTGAATCAACTACAATCAATGTTTTATACAATGCAATGTTTAATTTTGACTTCCACTGATAAAACACAGATCAAGTTGAATTTGGGTAGTGTCACTTTAACCATTATTGAGTTATGCCCCTTAATAAATCGAAAGATTGCAAAATTTTTAGTTTCCATTCTGTAACTTAAGTTTGCCCCAACCAAACATTATGAAACCTATACACAATATTCATTACCACAAAACTAAGATCAAGTACAAATTTTTTGTTTCCGTTTTCCAACTTTAGTTTGCCTCAACCAAACGTTATGAAACTCATACACAATGCTTATTACTACATAATACAGATTAAGTACGAAATTTGGTGGCGACACTTTTACCATTCTTGAGTTATGTCCCTTTATAAACATAAAAATTGCTGAAGTTTTCGTTCTCTAACTTTAGTTTGTCTCAACCAAATGTTATAAAACTTATACTCAACCGTTCTAGAGTTATGCATGTTTACAAATAGAAAAATTGCTGAATTTTTAGTTTCTGTTCTCGACTTAAGTTAGCCTCAACCAAATGTTATGAGACTTACACACAATGCTTATTACCACAAAACTCAGATCAAGTTCAAATTTGGATAGCGTCACTTTTACTGTTCTTCAGTTATGTCCCTTTATAGCTATATGATATGCAAGCGAGGGCATCATCTGTGTCCACATGTGGACACTATCCACATTTATTTAGTTATGTCCCTTTATAAATTGAAAAATTGCTGAATTTACAGTATATTTACAAGTGGGGGTGACACATTCTTCATTTATTTTAAAATCAGATCATCCACAATTATATTGCAGACTAATACTTTTATTTAAATTCATTAATATGTGTTCATTAGGGATATTGACCTAGGTAGCGATGATGACGTAATTGATTTTCAAGGTCTTAGGTCAAACTGAGGTTAAGAATCCGAGTTAAAACTTGTCAATGCAATATTTGATCAGACTTGGTATAAGTAATCACCACAAGGATAGGATGACCCTTAAATATGTTCAAGGTCATGGAGTTCATCAATCTGAGTTCAAGGGGTTGGGTAAAATCTTATCACAGAAATTCGTAGCAAATTTCATCAGAATTAATATAATTTTAAAAATCATAATAAGAAGAGGATGCCCCTATTGATCCGAGGTCAGAGGTTAAGTTTGAATCAGGCATGTCAGGAATCCAGGTCTGCAAAATATAAACCTATTAGCTTTCTAATGGTGAAAGAAATTTATTGCAGCAAGAAAAGGGAGTGTAAGGTAAAGGAAAGTGATTGCTCTGCTTTGCAGTTTCCTTATCATAGTATGCCTTTTATATTGTAGAATTAAAAGAAATGTCTTGTTCAGCTTTAAATGAAGTTTTAGCAGAATATGAAATTGTGATCAAAGAACTTTCAGAAATACTGATTCGTGAATTAGCCTTAAGAGATGAACTAGAATATGATAAAGAATTGAAAAATCAGTTTATTTCTCTGCTGCTGACAATCCAGAAAAAACGTAGAGATAATAACGTGGATAAAAAGAAGAAGAAAACTAAAACCACCAGTGTGAATAATAACCCAGATAATCCTGTCAGTACAGTAAGTATCTTTAAAATTTGCTTATATTGTCAGTTTTCCGATTGAAGATCGTGGTTATCTCTGGGCACAATGGATTATTCCACCAATAAAAACTGACCACCACGAAATAGGACAATAGTGTTGAAAGTGGCTTTAAACACCATTCAATCAATCTTCATTTATTTTGTTACAAGACATTGTTCACTTACATTTATTTGCCAATGTTATAGTGTTTTATTTTTATTTTTTGAAAAAAGAAATGCTATTCAATTTTTTCTAAAATTTTCATACTGTATTATCCAACTTCTACCATTTCAATGCTGGCATGTTTTTATTTGCAGAATACTGTGTGCATATTGTCAGGATAATTTTGTTGATCAGTTCTCAACATATTTACCTGATATTAGTCCCATTTTTTTCTCACCTGTAATAAAAGCTGAAGAATGTGATTCATAAGGATGCTAAGTGTCAACAGTATAAACTATTTGAATAAAGCTTCATAATTCAGAAGGAAGATGACCTAGATACTTCATACCATGTATACTAATGCCTTATATTCAGAAGTTTCTGTCACATGTCAGTGTTCCAGCTTGATTGTTTTCACAGGGCGGTCCGCCCACCCTTTCCTGACTGTGCCCCTTTTAACACGCCCTGCCCTTTTTCTCAAGTTAATGTCTTTATTGTCGTATTATTTTGATGAAATACTATATAATTCTACCTGTCTTCATGTTTCTGACAAGTTTATGACCCTCCGCTAATTAACATTTACAGCAGGTGTTATAAGTTGTGATTACAGGTAATCCGCTTATCTCCATCGGATGGGTCACTAATCCGTTAATTAATAAACCTCATAATTGACTATTATCATTAATTTTCCCAGTACAATCGGTCAGTTGGCATTTCAATTACAATATTTTTCAAAGGACCACAATTTGCAGTTCGTTTATCCATAGATGTTTTCGTAGTTTCGTCAATTGAACAAAATTATTTTCCCCCGGACAGTTCACATTCTAAAACTGTATTCAAAACGTTCAAAAATATTTTCACGAGTCAAACAGTTGGTTTTTTTTATCATGTACTGGGCATGCATGGAAGTATTGTTATAAATTTAAAAGACACTAAATGTAAAATATGAAATCATTTAGTATCAAATTAAACGAGAGAGACAAATATATTTCTTTACTGAGCAGCTTAATTTATGTTAAACACGAACCAATCTGTAGATGAATCCGGATTCATTCTGAATTTATTATCCTCTTGTCACTTCCCGTTTTCATTTCGCTTAAAAATCGAAAGTAAAGGTGATCTATTCTTGATAAATTTGAAATATACAGTCATTATAATCTTCCAAGTTTATAAAAATGAATTCCAAATATCGATTTAAACGTTTTTACAGGGATAATGATTATGCAGTGAAATAGTCATTAAAATTTCATTTATGCCATGATTCCTGGTTTTAAAAAAGAGGAACCCAACTTTTGTTGATCAGGAATGTCCCCTGAAAATAACTGAAGTGAAATTTTGAACTAGATTTCCGGATCCTTGTTCTAATATTCACATTTAAGCATCACATCAGTTAAATCATGCAATAACTGCCTACATTTGTAATATGCCTATGTCCTTCAAGGATACTGGTCCTTGAAGGACTTAGGCATATGTATAGCTAGTAATATACATCCTTGGTCCCTTGCTGTTACCCAAAATAAGGTTGATTTTCATCTCGTGCAAAAGTGACTAGAGCCCTCAAAATCCAAGCTGAAAAACCCTGCACACATTTTTAGAAATGTGCTTTGGTATACACTTTTACACCCCAATAAAATTACAAAAAAAAAAGCATTCATTTCTTAAATATCATGAATATAGTAGAATCATAATACACAAAACATGCATTTGAATACAATCCAAAAAAAAACCATTTTCAATTCAATAATAGTGGTTATACATACAACAAAACACAGATAAATGAACAACAAAATTCTAGTGAATTCTGTTTTTATGAATATATTGTAAATATAAAAATGAGAAGATGTGGTATGATTGCAAATAAGACAACTCTCTACCAGATATCAAATAACATATAAGGTTGTCAACTATAGGACACTGTACAGTCTTCAACAATGAGCAAAACGCATACCACATAGCAAGCTATTAAAGGCCCCGAAATGACAAATGTTAAACAATTCAAATGAGCAAACTAATGGCCTGATTTAAATTTATGTACAAAACAATCAACGAAAAACAAATATGATTTACAGCAACATACTATTAAAACTACAAGTCATTTCAATCAGGTTATTTTTATTGTCCCCCGCGTAACGTGTTGCGGGGGACATGGAAATACCAATCGTCCGTCTGTCCGGTCTTGTTAGCGCTGTCACAGGTACAATTCTTGCCAGATTTTTATAAAACTTATACTATAGGTTGATATCAGCAATATCTTGGACAAATTCTATAATGGTGGCCGATCGACTTTTTTAAAACAGTTATGCCCCTTGGAAATATTAAATTTATGGAAAATGGCCTCGTTAGCGCTCTCACAGGTAAAATTTTAAATAAAACTTGTAGTATACTATAAGTAATGCCCTTGAAGGTCTGTTTGAAATATTTAGTATACAATAAAAAAAAAACTTTTTTTGTCCCCTGTGCACGCTTTTTAGTCCCCTACCGACGAAGTCCGTCTGTCTGTCTGTCTGTCCATCCATCAGTCCATCAACTCAGTTTTTAGTCCCCTACAAACGAAGTCGAGGGTGAATTTAGGTTTGCACTCCGTCTGTCTGTCTGTCTGTCTGTCTGTCTGTCTGTCTGTCTGTCTGTCCATCCGTCAGTCCGGCAAATCAGTTTTCCACACTTTTTTTCTTCGTGCTTGAAGATATTGATTTAATAATTGGTACATTGTTTTATCATGACAAGTTACAGATCAAGTTAGAATTTTGTTCCATTGTGATGATTTTGTGCAGAGTTATGGTCCTTGTACTTAGAAAATTCACTCAAATAATCAGTTTTCCCACACTTTTTTTCGTCATGCTTGAAAACATTGATTTGATAATTGGTATATAGTTTTATCATGACAAGTTACAGACCAAGTTCAAATTTTGTTCTGGTGTGATGATTTTGTGCAGAGTTATGGTCCTTGGACTTAGAAAATTCACTTAAATAATCAGTTTTCCACACCTTTTTTCATCATGCTTGAAGATATTGACTTGACATTTGTTATATAGATTACACCATGACAAATTATAGATCAAGTTAGCATTTTGTTCCCGTACAATTGATTTTTAACTGGTAGGGGACTATGTAATGCCATGCAATACTCTCAGAATGCTTGTTCACACTTTTTTTCTTCGTGCTTGAAGATATTGATTGGATATTTGGTGTATTGTTTTATCATGACAAGTTACAGATCAAGTTTGAATTTTGTTCTGGTCTTGACAATTTTGTGCAGAGTTATGGTCCTTGAATTTAGAAAATTCACTCAAATAATCAGTTTTCCGCACTTTTTATCGTCATGCTTGAAGATATTGATTTGGTAAGTGGTATATAGTTTTATCATGACAAGTTATGGATCAAGTTCGAATTTTGTTCCAGTCTGATTATTTTGTGCAGAGTTATGGTCCTTGGACTTAGAAAATTTATTCAAATAATCAATTTTCCACATTTTTTTTTTGTCATGCTTGAAGATATTGACTTGATATTTGTTATATAGTTTACACCATGACAAGTGTACAATAAACTTTTTATTGGTAGGGGAATATGTATTGCCAGGCAATACTCACAGAATGTTTGTTATTTATAAATTGTTTTAAAGCCCCTGGATAGATCAAATATGTGCAATGCGGGGGACATTGGAACTCTGTTCTTTTATTATTAGTACAATAATTGTGCATAATTTGTTATTGTAGTTCTTGACAACAGTAATACCATACCATTCATTTGGAGGACCACCAACATCAGAACAGTTACAGATTTACATTAAGAGTACGTAAACAGAAAAGTTATTAAATGCTCTTCATCATGAAAAGATGTGGGATCTTAAAGTCCATGAAGCAGCAACCCTAACATAACCAAAAAGATGTCCAATTTTTGTTGATAATAATGGGAATAGTATTTACACACCCTTTAAAAGAAATTAGGACAAGACATTGCTGACAGGAAAATAACTCTTTAAGTAGATGTTTCTTTTTAATTTGTTGGTTAACGGATCCACTGACTCAATTGTTCTGAATTTCAGAAATAAAAGCATTCAGAAATGTTGTATAAATGATCTAAGAGTGAATTATTTGCTGTTTTATAGCATTGGCTCAATTTGAAGATAAATGGCATTCTAATACCAAACATTTAATTTCAGTTCTGAAAGCTATAAATGCAGACAGTCCTACAGTACCTACATTGTTAACAGATTATATACTTAAAGGTAAGGCTTGTGCAAAAAGAATGCATTATTATAGATGAAAAAAAAATTAGAATAAAAGTATCCTCATGGATTAAAAGAGTATGTTCATCAATGACAGTTTTCCCTCCACAACCCCCATTTTGGTAATAAAAAAATAACATGTTCTCCGAGATTGAAAATAGTAAGATTATAGACTTTAATTTGAGTCCCAAGTGAGATTCACGTTCTGTACCAGTTCATTTTGATGACATGCCAAAGGTATATTTACAACACTCAAACAATGGACAGACACATCAGTAGACACAAAAAAAAACAACACATATAATTTATCTTATTGAACAAAAATTCTAGATATGTAATACTGTGAGATTAGTATTAAAAAATTATTTTAAAAAAATCATTATTTATGGTTGTTGAATGAATTATATAAATGTATCTTTACACGAAATTATGTTGTTGTTTTTTCTTTTCAGTTTTGTGTCCCACATAGGAAAATTGTTACCAAAGATATTACAGTTCCATAGCACATGCAAAATGGTTTTATTATTTAGTCGTGTGAATGTCTGTTAGCAGTATTTTATTTGTATAGTTTGAAGGCAGCGCTTGAATAATTTGTGAGATACATCTTGTCTTAGTTCATTATCCATGATAAATCAAAATATGTTTTTCATTCTGTAAACCAACAAGATATGATAATCTTTTTTGGAAGACATTTGTTGAATAAGATTACCATATTTTGATTGGTGATGAATTACTAATTTTATTAGCATTCGAAATATGAATCTGTTGAACAAGTAGTTAAAAAAAGGTCATCCATTATGTTTTATTCTACAGGAGTATAATTTCTTTTTGTGCTTAAGTTTTCTTTATTATTTGTTAAATTGGTTTACTTTGAGCGTAAAGTTTTTCAAGCATACCAATTTTCATTGTTTCAGGAATATCAGGAGGACAAATAGTTATAATTCTAAAATCTCTATTTCAATGGGAACAGTTGATTATTGAAAAAAAAGTCTTTTAAATGTGAAATATGACATTGTGAATGTATCTTTGAAAATTCTGATTGCTATATTTGAATTGATAGTAATATTCATGAAATCCATGAAAACTAGTGTCTCATCATCTGTATATTTAAACATATTTTCTTCTATATAAATCAAAAATAATTTTTACTGTGATATTGTTTTGTTTTATAGAATTTTTTTTTATTCCCACTTAATTTTTTATGGTTTTATTAATGATATAGGTCTGTCATTTATTCTCTAATTTTAGCAAAGAAAGACATTTTGATAAAGTGAAAATTTGTACTGATTTGGATTTAGGTTGAACACTGACATTTTATATTAAGTGACCAAAATAATTATTCTTTGAGGAGCATGTTACCATCAATAGTAGCAATGTGATGATACATCAAGCATGTGCTTTTAAAAGGTAGTTAAAGACATCTGTCCTGTGATGTAAATTTAGAATCCTTGACAGTGAATTTGTGAATGGGCCTGCCAGCATGATTTATTTCAAAATATGTTTTCTGCATCACACATTTAATTTACTATCTTATTATGATTGTAAGTCATATAAAAAAGCTGCTATTAAGTTGGATATTTTTAATGAACAAATAATTGACGCTGTGATATTTAAAAAAAAAAGTTTGATATCTTTATAGAATGTTACCCAACAGGAATATTTCAAATATCACTTGATAGTTATAGATATAAATATTATTTGGTGTGAATTTAAATTCATTTGTTATCAAACAAAATAAATAAATGCAATTTTTACTTCAGACAAGAAGAGAAGTTTTGGGGTAAATGTTATTTGAAAATACAAGCAGAGAAGCTTCAAATTGTTTTTATATCTGATGTCAAATAAATTAAGTTACAATTCTGTTAACTTTTAATTTACTTACAAGTCAGCTTACTGTATATTTACACAAGTCTATTTAATATATATTTTACACGAGGTAAAATCCCACCGAGATTTCTAAAAATCAAATATTCAGAATTTCTGAATTTGTCCCTTTTCTACCAGTATCAAATATACACTGAATTATTAGGCTTTAGATACTTATGATTTACATTTGTTTATTATCTCTTTATTATGACCTATAATGTACAGTAAATTAAAAAAATTCATATGATGTTAATATTAATAACATAAATATGACATGATGATCATTGCTATAATTAAAACTAGCTTCATAATTTTTGCTTGAAATATTGAGCAACATGTACCAGATTATACTGTTTCACATTATTGTGGATGATTTTTCAGGAAATTCAATTGCAATTTACTTATGGATTTTATGATCTGGTGCATATATGTACATAAAATGATTCATGATAATTATTTTCATTTCTATAATTTCGTTGAATGAACAATGAAAATAACATTTATTTTAGTATCATGGTTTACATTGATTTTTTTTTTTATTTTTATGCCTGAAGGAGATGAAAGTAGTGATTTTGATAACCAAGAAAATTTGCCTGCTTTTTTGTCATAGAATGTATCTGGCAAGTAAAATTTTTTAAATATACTTTTCAATTTTTTAACTAGAAATTTAATATAATTAGATAAGAAGACAAATAGTTGTAGTACACTGTGCTGATGTATACATATTTCTTAGCTTTGTATGTGATAATAGTTTTTGTTTTGTACAGATGGAAGTGTTTATAATCTCATGAGAAATCTCTCATAAAGTTTATCATTGTTAATGTTTACTCACTCATGCCAGTAAGCTGAAACCATTGGTTGTTAGCTTTATTAATGTGTATATATATGGGCAATGTGCAAATATGACTTACATAGTGTAATATTTACTGTATATTTTGTCTTGTTTTAAGAAGTATTATATATCTTTTTATGTATTTGTGAGTGTCTATTTGCTTTACTATGTCTGAAGTGATCTTGTGAACTCACTCCAATCATAAATTTCAAGTATTCTTAATTTCTAAACCTACTACCATGGTTGAAATACCAATCCAGTAATCAAGTTTAAAGGTCATTAATTTACATTATTGTATAGATTATTTAAAGTTTCTGTACCATCTTGCCTCTAAATCTGGTCACAGATCTGTTTGGCATATGACAACAATTAAGCGTACAATCTATCCTAAAGTTAGTTGGGGAACGAAACCATTCAACTTAAATATGCAGGTTTTAAATGTTTTCTAATGGTTTAAGACCAATACTATTTTAATCAAAGATATATGGAATATGTTTTAAAATCTTAAAATATGGACATTTTATTTTATTTATTACACAAGTTACAATTATAGAATAAAAATAGACTATTGCAAAAGTCTGTTGTGCTTTTTTTTAAAAGTTGGAAAAAAAAATTCTAAATGAGAAGTTACATTGTAGCAGTAATGTCTGCCTGAGTTTGATGACTTTCATAGCTGGAAAGGAACATTACACATAGAATTCAATAACTGTAAATACCATTATATATCTGTTGTGTTTTTGTAAGGAAAGTTTTTATCAATTAATCCAGTCACAGCCTTCAAAATCTATTTCAACAATGTTACAATAATATTAGGTTTAATTTATGATTCCTATTATATGAATATAAGTACTCTAGTTTATATTTATCCAAGAAATTACAGTATTAAAAGATTGATACTTGAATGGAGAGAAATCTGCTGTTATTTATGATCTTCAGTATGAAATTCATGGCTTGAACACCCAAATTCTGTGCATTTGGTAGACTCAAACAAGTTCAAAAGGTTCTTCAACAATTTTTGCATACTTTTGAGCTTTAATATCTCAAACAGTCTGATATGAATTAAAAAAATAATGTTGACTCGGAAGTTTTAGCTACTCGATATTATATTTAAGAAATATTACATAGATATTCTGGTAAAGTATGGATACAGTTAATCTTGGACAAATAATATAATTATTAAATCATAATATTATTCTTATATAATAATCTGTTACAAAGGTGATATACAGTTATATAGTTACTAGTCTACTGCTACTACATTTACAGTGTATTTACTGGCTATTTGGAATAGCCTGTAAATAAGTGTTCTATTATACAGAAAGTAATGGAAAATGTTTGCTTCCAGTTAAAAGTTCATACCCAGTAAATAAATCTTTTTCAGACAATTTAGTCAAAATAGTAAATTTATTTGTCTATAACTTTATAAAGAAAATACATACTGAGGTGTAACTATATCCAGTAAGTTTGAAGATTTGTTTGCCAAGTATGTTGATAGAAAATTTGCAGCTGTAGCAATGCCCGTTAGTATTTCAAAGCCTTGTACTTAACACAGGAAAAATGAGCAAGCAAACTAAACACATATTGGTTAACTATACTATGAGTAGCTCTAAATGTTCAACAGAACTTTTGTTTCCTATATAGTGTGAAAAAAATAAGCAATACTCTGTTTAAGTGTATGTGAATGTAAAATAACAAAATATGACACTATTCATCGTCATATGGACAAACTGGTATAACTAGACTGTATATCAATTTGTAGGGTATGAAACATTTATATTTAGTATGTTAACATAAACTTCTGCAACTTATATTGATGTCCTATTTGTGTTTTGTGATTAACAGTAATATTAAAATGCTGAATGAAACCAGTAGTTTTTTTATTGTTGTCGAGCCTGCGACTTTTGTCGCAGAAAGCTCGACGTAGGGATAGTGATCCGGCGGCGGCGTTAACTTACTTCTTAAATGCTTAATATTTCAGAAGGTAGAAGACCTGGATGCTTCATACTTTGTATATAGATGCCTTATGATATGAAGTTTCCGTCTGTCATATGTCCATTGTCCTTGACCTCATTTTCATGGTTCAGTGACTACTTGAAAAAAAAGTTGTGATTTTTTGTGATGTTAATTTCTCTCTTATTATGAGTAATTGGATAACTATATTTGGTATGTGCATACCTTGCAAGGTCCTCATGCCTGTCAGACAGTTTTCATTTGACTTCATCCTCATTTCATGGATCAGTGAACAAGGTTAAGTTTTCGTGGTCAAGTCCATATCTCAGATACTATAAGCAATGGGTCTACTATATTTGGTGTATGTAATGATTGTAAGGTGTACATGTCCAACTGGCAGGTGTCATCTGACCTTGACCTCATTTTCATGGTTCAGTGGTTATAGTTAAGTTTTTGTGTTTTGGTCCGTTTTTCTCATACTTTATGCAATAGGTCTACTATATTTGGTGTATGGAATGATTGTAAGGTGTACATGTCCAACTGGCAGGTGTCATCTGACTTTGACCTCATTTTCATGGTTCAGTGGTCAAAGTTAAGTTTTTGAGTTTTGGTCTTTTTTCTTATACTATATGCAATAAGTCAACTAATGTTCGCTTCGGAGATTCCGTATATCGTCAAGTTATCGGAATTACAATGGGGACTAACTGTGCACCACTTATTGCGGACCTGTTTTTGTATTGAGTTACAATTTATGACTAAAATCAGCAAAGACCCATCGAAACAACATCTGATACAAAAATTTTATAATACTTTTAGATATTTGGATGATATATTGGCTCTCAATAATGACGACTTCAGTATGTATACCAAAGAAATTTATCCTGTTGAACTTACTTTAAATAAAGCTAATACTAACAATGACCACTGTCCTTTCCTCGATCTTGATATCTATATCATTAACGGGAAGCTTAATACAAAAATTTATGATAAAAGAGATGATTTTTCATTGTCTATCGTTAATTATCCATTTTCAGATGGTGACGTTCCCTTGTCACCATCTTATGGTGTTTATATATCTCAACTTGTTCGATTCGCTCGTGTATGTAACAACATATTAGATTTTAGCGAGAGAAATTTATGTGTTACTGAAAAATTATTACACCAGGGTTTTCGATATCATAAACTAGTCAAAACATTTACTAAATTTTATCATCGGTATAAGGACATCATTCGTAAATATAACTCAACATGCAGACATCTTATACGTTCGGGTATTTCACATCCAATCTTTTATGGTAATATTCTTTACAAAGCACAAAAATGTCTGTATTCACCTCAAAAGCTAACAAAACCTTTAAACAGACTTATTAAGAAGGGATATAGTTACGATACTGTTTCCAGGTCATTAAAGATTGCATATTTTGGCTTTAATATTGATTCACTTATAGGGTCTTTGCATCGGAATTAAACATATTTATTCTAAAACCAGTTGTTGGCATGACACAGGTTATGTTCTTCTCATATATTTTATGATGGTATAATACTAAACCCCTAACAGGAGGGATTGTGCCTGATATTCATATGATGAAGACATAATCTTTCAATCAGTTTAATTGAGGTCTGGAGCTGGCATGTCAGTAACTGCTAGTAGTCTGTTGTTATTTATGTATTATTGTCATTTTGTTTATTTTCTTTTGTTTCCTATTCTGACATCTCTTAACCTGAGTTTTACTGTGCATACTGTTGTACGTTTGTTTTTTCTACATTGGCTAGAGGTATAGGGGGAGGGTTGAGATCTCAAAAAACATGTTTAACCCCGCCGCATTTTTGCGCCTGTCACAAGTTAGGAGCCTCTGGCCTTTGTTAGTCTTGTATCATTTTTAATTTTAGTTTCTTGTGTATAATTTGGAGTTTAGTATGACGTCCATTATCACTGAACTAGTATACATATTTGTTTAGGGGCCAGCTGAAGGACGCCTCCGGGTGCGGGAGTTTCTCGCTGCATTGAAGACCCATTGGTGGCCTTCGGCTGTTTTTCTGCTCTATGGTCGGGTTGTTGTCTCTTTGACACATTCCCCATTTCCATTCTCAATTTTATATTTGGTGTATGGGAATATTCTATGATGTACATGTCAGTCTCACAGGTTTTATTTGACCTTGACCTCATTTTCACGGTTCATTGCTCAGTGTTAAGTTTATGTGTTTCAGTCTGTTTTTCTTAAACTATAAGCAATAGGTCAGCTATATTTGTTGTATGGAACGATTGTAAGCTGTTCATGTCTGCCTGGCATGGTTCATCTGACCTTGACCTCATTTTCACGATTCATTGGTCAATGTTAAGTTTTCTTGGTTAAGTCTTTCTTAGAAACTATAAGCAATAGGTCAACTATATTTAGTGTATTGAATGATTGTAAGGTGTACATGTATTTCTCGTTTGGTTTATATGACCTTGACTTCATTTTCTTGGATCATGTTAAGTTTATGTAATAGTTGTAGTAAAGCTTTCATTTAGGACTATCAACATAATATCAATGGTAAGTAAAGAAGGCAAGACATTTCAGCGTGTGCACCCTTGTTGTGTTTTGTCTGTTTTTCTAATACTGTATGCAATAGGTCAACTATATTTGGTGTACTGAAATATTTTATGATGTACATGTCGGTCTGGCAGGTTTTATTTGACCTTGACCTCATTTTTCATGATTAATTGCTTATGTTAAGTTTTTGTGTTTTGGTCTGTTTTTCTTAAACATTAAGCAATAGGTCAAATATATTTGGTGTATGGAATGATTTTAAGGTGTTTATGTCTGTCTGGTAGGTATCATCTGACCTTCACCTCATTTTCATGGTACATTGGTCAATGTTCAGTTTTCCTGGTTGACTTTGTTTCTTAGATACTATAAGCAATAGGTCAACTATATTTGATGTATGGAATGATTTTTAGGTGTACATGTCTGTCTGTCAGGGTTCATCTGACCTTGGCTTCATTTTCATGGTTCATTGGTCAATATGGAATTTCCATGGTTTGGTCTGTTTCTTTTATACTACAAGCAATAGGTCATCTATATTCTGTGTATGGAATGATTGTATTAAAGGTGTACATGTATTTCTCTAACTTTAGTTTGCCTCAACCAAATTTTATGAATCTTATACACAATGTCTATTACCACAAAACACAGATCAAGTTTGAATTTTGGTGGCGTCACTTTTACCGTTCTAGAGATATACCCCTTCACAAATGGAAAAATTGCTGAATTTTTCGTTTCCGTTCTCTTAAGTTTGCTTCAACCAAATGCTATGAAACTTGTACACAATGCTTTTTTCCACAAAACACAAATCAAGTTTGAGTTTGGGTGGCGTCACTTTTACCTTTATAGAGTTCTGCCCCTGTACAAATGGAAAAATTGCTGAATTTTCGTTTCCGTTCTCTAACTTAAGTTTGCCTCTACCAAATGTTATGAAACTTATACACAATGCTTATTACCACAAAATGCAGATCAAGTACGAATCTGGGTATCGTCACTTTTACTGTTCTTAAGTCATGTCCCTTTATAACTTTATATGCATCATCTGTGTCCCATGGACACATTCCCCATTTATTTTCCCAGCGTCAACAATTGATTCATGTTTTTTATTTGTTGAGTTTTACAAAAACCACTTGATGATGATGATGATGATGATGATGATGAGTGACTGCTTTTAAAATGTCCAGTAGCAAATTAAATGCATATTCAGGACGAAAATATGTTAATGTAACATGAATATTTTCCCTGCGTTGTACTATGCTGACACACTGAGCCAGATTGATTTTATGTTTGAAGTCTTTTAGATTAAGGTTTAACGTTCTTCTTTTGCTTTGGATACAAATTCTAATTCCAATAAATCGTGGGCTGCACGTGATTGACGTCACAATTGAAATTGCAACGTCAGTTGAGTTTTGAACAACGCCAGATATCAAAATGGACATTTGTGTTGTTGTTGCTCGCTAGGAAATTAAATAAAATCTTTCTAAAAGTATACCTTCATTTTTCATCGTTTATTTTAAACTGTTGATTTTCTATAACGTTTCAATACCCCCGCTTTAAAAAAGTGGGGATATACGGTTTTACCTCTGTCTGTCCGTCCGTCTGTCCATCCATCTGTCAGTCCGTCCATCCGTCCCATGAATATTTTTCGTCGCAGCTTTCTCAGGAACTACATCATAAGGATTTCTGAAATTTGGTTTCAGGGTTTATATAAGTCAGCTATACCGTGTGATGCGTTTTCAGATTCATCACTGAACAACTTCCTGGTTACCGAACACTTACATATTTTTACACTATTACAATTATCCAGTTACGGCGAGGGTATCATCAGTTAGCAGTAGCTCGCAGTTTCACTTGTTGGTTCATCAAATCAAAATGGCTGCCTTTCGAGCGTGTATTATTGATCCGCTTCGAGGTACAAAAGTTCAAAATTTTTCTATTAGAATCGAAATAATTCTATCATGCCATGCTCTATGCTCATTTTAACATGGGTAGGCATTATATTTGTCAACCTTTTACACCTTGCTAACGCTTGGTAAAATATTGACAAATATTATGCCTACCCATATAAAAATGAAAGTATTATATCTTAAATATTAAATACTTATATTAATGATCAATGTAAATCAAGTCAAGCTAGGTCAGATGAATTCTGCAAAATAAAAAATCTAAATGCACAATAAGATTCAGCATATCACATAACCACAAGAATTAAGTTTTTGATGAAATCAAACAAAATCTAATTTTAGACCCTTTGGACCTCAATGTAGACCTATTTAAAAATGTCCAAATATCCAATATAGTAATACATGGTAAAAACCTCAAACAATTCAAGACTTAAAATTAATCCTCATTGAAATTGGTTAAAAGATTTGTATTTATTTTCAATTGAA